CCTCCAACATAGCAGACCGACCATCCAGATTTGAGTTTGTACAGCTTTTGCAAGCAGGTTTCGTAAGATTATACCCGAAGTGGCTGTAACAGCGAAAGAAGAGCACATGTTTGCACGAGATGGGATTAGCCTGACATGTTGTCTTCTTTGAAGTTCGGAGTGAACTGAAGATCAAGTTGTTGCAATGAAGCTGTTTCATTGCATGTGGCCATGTCTGACCTTGAAGGGTTCACGGCTCTCCCGACTCGAAAAGTACGAGGCGCGTCTCAGGTGTGGAAGTGTGAACATTGGGTTGATGGTGTCATGTGAAGTGGCAACAAATGTTGGCGCAGGATGTTGGTGCAAGATGTTGGTGCAGGAAAAATAAGACGCGTTGAAAAAAACATCATAGGGACTTTTGACCCTCATGAACATGTTAATGACAGGATTTTATAACTGTTTGTTTGCTGTTTTTTGCTTTATAGAGTTAGGTCAAGGCCAGGATTTCATTTTCATTTGTTCTGCTATGTTTTGAACGAGGGCCACTGCTGTAGCTGTAGGTTCTGGGGATACATACTTCAAGAACTCCAAACGTGACAGGTTTGACCGCGCCGACAAACCTCTCAGATCCTCAAGGGCGACGGTTGACGAGCAAAAGATTCTCGCGCTTCTAGGGCGCCAGTTTCACGAAAGAACGGAGAATAGATGAAAACAGTGGCACCGTTCGCTGACAGTCGACAAATGCAACGTTGGTCCTCGGAGGAATCGCACATGCAAACCGCATGGCAAGGGCACTTGTACGCTTGGTTCTCAACAAAGGTGACGAAACCCCACCTATCACATTCGCCCTCAAGACTTTGGTTTCGATTCACTAGCTTTCGACCTTGGGTTTTGCTCTTAGTTTTGCAAACAAGCAAGAATACAAACATAGCTTCAAACGCGGCCAGATTCTGAGGAATCATGCCTGCACTCTACCTGTTGAGATTTCACGCGTCCCAGCTAAGAGTGGCAGCCGTAGGTGGTTGAGTGCTTCGGGAGTGGGCCTGGCATAACAACTGGTTGGCTTTTGACCTTTAGTTTTGATCTTATGGTCACAAACAAGCAATGCACGCGCATGAAGGACAAACAAACCAAAATTTAAAATAGACTTAAGCATGGCCCGATTCTGAAGAATCATGTCAGCACTCTGCCCCAGCAAGACCTGACGTCGGCATACCTCCACCTTCTTTGACAACCTCTGACAAATGGAATCCTGTCGAAATGTCCAGCATCGTGAGAATACTGTACTTGTTTCCTGCATAGTCCTTCATTATATGGGTTCCGAAGTGCGCTAAAGCTTTGACGAAGGACTTTATTTAATAAAATCCTTTCGACCTGAGGTCATTCCCTTATTTTTCTATGTGCCAACGTTGGCAGCCAAAAATTTATGGAATCCCGCGCCAACGTGTTTTATGGAATCCTGTACCAAGGTTGCAGGAGCTAATGACTAACAAACATATTGGCGTATTAAATTCTTGGTTAGGGGGGTTGCCAAGCGAAGGTTCTGGTTCTTTTTCAGCGTATGCTCCTGTGCGCAAGCCATTCTTCGTAGATGGATCAGTTGGGCAGGTTTCCCAAAGGCTGCAATCATGGATAGAGGTGTCCACAACCGAGGTGAGGTGTCCAAGCTATTCGCTTCGCACGGTGTCGAGATCTTCTATGCACCATCGGAAACACCATCAGCCATTGGCAAGGTTGAAAGGAACCAAGGTATCTTGAAGGCAATCCTCAGGAAGACCATCCATGACATGGAAGCCGTTGGCCGTAATGCATTTGAAACATGCTTGCATGAATGTACTTCCGTGAAGAATCGCATGGAGAGAGTCCAAGGCTATTCACCAGCACAATGGGTCCTGGGAAGGAACCCAAGAGTTCCAGGATCTGTCACAGACATGCATGAAGCAGGAAACTTGGGCATCTTGGAGAACAAGCTTGACCCTGCAGCAAGCTATCATTTGTGTCATGCATCTCGTATGGCTGCACAAAAGGCATTTATTCAATTGGATACAAGTTCCCGTGTTGCAAGAGCATTGACCAGGAATGCAGCAGTCCAGAACAAGAAGTCATTTGTGGTTGGGGACCTCGTGGTCTACCGTCGTGACACCCAGCAAGGTGGAACCGTGTGGTCCACTGCTTCGCGTGTGATTGGCATTGACCCGCACAATGGCATCTGGTTGCTACATGAAGGTGTTCCTGTTTTGTGTGCCGCTGGAAAACTCAGATCAGCCAATGAGAGTGAATCTTTGGCCTACTCCATTTTGAACAACATCCCGGTTTTCCCAGAAGCAGTGACATTGGGACAACAGAAGTATATCCGAATGATGGACGAAGAGGCGAGCCCTAAGAAGGGACACAAGAGAGAAGCACAAGCAGAAGATAAGACGGGCAAGGCTGCCCGATCATCTGCAAGCGCAAGCGGAAGCGCAGTCGCAGTTCCGATGACCCCCGGAGGCATTGTCGGTGACGATGAGGTCATGTTTGCATTGGTTGACAATGAAGACCATTGGAGAATCTCTGAGAGTCATGCAATTCGTGCAAGAGGAGATTCCATGACTTCCATCCGCTGTATGACGGAGATGTTCCGGAAGGATTCGGAGGAAGACGCGTGACCAGAAAAGTCTACGAAGACGGCAGTCGAGCGACCAGCGAGTCCATGCCGGGCATGGACAATGTTGACTCTCGCGCGTGGACTGGTTTCACTATCTTTACACGGGTAAGACACCCGTTGATCGCCATGGCCGCTGTCGACGACATTGGACTTACCGCAGAGTTTCAAGCCTTCGTAGCTCAGCGCTTTGGAGAAAACAGTGAGACGCATGTTGGCAAAGTGGCACGGACGCTACAGTACGACCGCTGCACCCCTGAGATGCAGGCCCGCATCTTGGACGCACGTCGTGCAGAGTGGAGCAAATATAGGAGCTTCAACGCTGCAATGCCCCTTCGAGGCAAAGAACTGGAAGAGTTGCTTCAAGAAGGGCATGTTCCCATCCCCATGCAATGGGTAGATGTGGATAAGCAGGCTCATCTGACAGGTACGCCTGAACATCAGCCTGAAAACAGATCTCGTTTAGTTGCTTGTGGCGACCACGAACAAGTGAGCCGTGACGCACAGGGCATCCGCTGCGACAGCCCCACAGCTGAAACCGAAGGGCACATGTTGATTGCGAGCTTCGCTGCAAGCCATCGCGTGACCCTGTACGCGGCAGATGTTTCCTCAGCGTACTTCCAGAGTCAGCCAATGACGAGGTTGCTGTTGCTCAAACAGCCACGTGGTGGAATTCCAAGTCCGGATGTTCCACCGGATGCAATGTTGGTTGCACGCCTTCCGATCTATGGCACGATCGATGCAGGCAGAGGCTTTTACTTGAGGATGAATAGTGAGATCACCAGTGCCGGATTGAAATGCAGTCGCATCACACCTGCATTATACTATTTGCACAATTCCAAGGGAAAGTTGATTGGCATGATCGCGACACATGTCGACGATTTGTTATATTGCTACCTTGATGAAGGCAAGAAGACAATTGAAGGCATCCTCAAAAGATTCACGATTGGCAAAACCGAGTCAGGCAGATTCCGATACTGCGGACGGCAGTTCGTACAGCATGAAGACTACTCCGTGAGCATTTCAACAAGTGAAAACTGCAAGACCGTGAAGCCGATCGAAATCGACAAGCATCGGAAGCTGTCGGAAAGGGTGACAGAGAAAGAGCTGACAAGTCTCAGGAGCGTTGTTGGTAGCTTGGCTGGGGTCGCACGTTATGGAAGACCAGACCTTTGTTACCGTGTGAATGAGATGCAACGCGCATGCAGCGCAAAGGCAACAGTGCAAGACTTGAAGAACGCCAACAAGGTTGTTGAATTGGCACTTCAAGGAAGTGACTTGCAGATCACCTTCAAGAGTGATTGGATTGACTGGAGCGATTTGGCAGTTGTGACGTTTAGCGACGCAAGTTTCGCAAACGAAGACGGCTTTAAGAGTCAGCAAGGTCGCATTCACTACATAACGAATGCGAGCAGCCTCAAGGAAGGCAGTCACAAAATGCATCTGATCAGCTTTGGTTCAACTACCCTCAAAAGGGTGTGTCGTGCTACATTGCAAGCAGAAGCATATGCTCTGCAAACTGCAGTCGAACATGGAGATCGTCTACGATGCCTGATCTGTGAGTTGACCGGACGACTTGATGACTTCAAGAACTGGCACGAGGAAACTCAGAGACGAATGGCGCATGTGTATTACACCGATTGCAGGAGCTTATCGGACCATTTACTGGCAGAAGTTCCGAGAAAAGTACAGGACAAAAGGCTTGGCATAGAACTTGCTGCATTGAGGCAGGGAGTGTGGACTGTGAGTGGCGAGAGAACATCGGAGATCTACAGTCCCTATGGTGACCACCTGAGGTGGATTGAGACATCAAAGCAATTGGCAGACCCGTTGACCAAGAGCATGAGGCCAGACTACCTCCTCAAGACACTGGAAAGTGGACTTGTCAATGTCGAGAACAGTGGCGCATGCGAAAAGGGAGCCAAGATGGAAGATGAGGAAGTCTCACCATGACTTGTTTTTGAGAATTCGACATGGAAAGGCGTGGTTTACGGCCCCACGGGGAATCGAGTTTGCTTGGCTGCCTTTGTACGAATTTGAACTGTAAAGCCCGCAACACACCTGTAGATAAGACGGGTGTGAATTTTACCGATTGTAGCCAGGGTGTATTGCGTACAGTTGATGCACCGCCGCTGCTGTCTCGGCTAAATGGGGCCCTTGAGTCGATTCGCTGCTGCGAAAAGGAACCGTGCGAGATTCAAACTTGTCAACGATGTGAGCTAGAGCCTATTGGCATCGCTACTTGGAGCAAGGACACTACTAGGGGCTCCTGGCATCGCTACTAGGAACAAGGACGCTACTAGGAGTCTATTGGAGTGGTGTTGGCAATTGCGCGCTTGTGAAATGGCAGAGTTGAGCGTAGCGCCCAAGTGCCAAGGAAAGGTTGCTTAAGGACTTCCAACGAATGGATCAGGCTTGCGAGTTTTGGCATGTAGGGCTGTCGGCAAGTGGGGTCATTTGAGCCATTTCTTCTATGTGAGCTTCTCAGCTTGAACCACCATGACCAGCTACCCAGCTGTGCAGGATGGTGACGCTCTTCTCGCATCGCGCTTGGCCATGCAACTGCTGCTTGCTCGCCGGGGAGCGACCAAGCGAGGCAGCGAGGTTGCGGTGGGTGTCTGTGATGTGCGGGGCTGCGGCAACTTGGAAAAAACTTTGTTAGGTTGGAGGCCATCGCTACTAGGGTGGAGGCCATTACTGCTAGGGTAGAGACCATTATCATTACTACTAGTAGCTAGAAGCTAAGTTGTGGGGCATTTTGTGACTTTGATTTGTGCAGTGGAGCTTATCTTAATCTTAATCCCCATGCAGGTCGATATCCTGTTCTTTTGCACTTTGAGGTGTCACTCTTTCCGTAGACTTTTCTTTCAACTGATTTGTATGAAGTGTACTTTCGGCTAAATGGGATGAGACGATGAACGCTTTTGTGAAGACCTTTTCAGCCGAGCAACATGCCTGGAACTTATTGCAAAGCAGAATAGTTATATAGGTAATTTTCTTGTCCATCTCCGGTGTCCTTCTCGGATTGTGGTTAGAATGTTTCACACTTTGACTTGAACGGGGAGAAAGCAAAGCAAACAGTGTCCCCCGGCTCGATTGCAATTCCCCGGCCAAGGCACAGTGGACTTCAGTGCGATGGCAGCAGCAGCACTCATGGCCGACCTGCTTCCAGATGGATTCATGAAGCAAAGGACGGATAAAGTCAATGTGAATGTGAAGTCAGGGTGCTTCTTTGCAGGAACAGGAATTCGTATGCCGGGAGTTCACGAATGCAAGGAAACTGTTTAACAAAAGATGTGCCTCGTCTTAGAGTGGTTGCAGGGTTGATGATATGTGGTCTGCCTTACAGCAGCTCTTTTTCGAGGCAGGCTGCACGTTGAATAAGCTTGGGCTGGGGATGCGGACATGCGTGAGCAGAGATGTGAAACCGCATCCAGGCCTACGGCAGTGATGATGGGAGGCTTGGTCTGAATATCTCCGCTGTGTTGAGCTGAATCCAGTGTGCAGCGGCACGAGAGGGAGGTAAGGTGAAGGCTGCTTGCCACTTCATGTGTTGGTGGGCTGTTGCCCGCCCAAGCTTTCACTAAGGATGGTGGACCGGTCTGTTGTGCTGGAGAAGGTGTCAAACTCTGCAACTTGTCATGAATTAAACTAAAGACGGATCAGGTTGGGTGTGCTTTTGGTGGCTTAGCTGTTAGCATGTTTGTGCTATGGGTCAGCTGTACCGGCTGCTCGGTTCAGCCCAGGTTGGAGGTCTTCTGGAGAAGTATGGCGACGTGGAGCATCTTGGCAACAAACCTGCTGGAGATTCATGCTTGCTAGTTGAATGGAACATCTACTGGAAGATTCGGAGCGGGATGCTGCAGGTTTGAAGAGATCTTGGGGTCTTTTGACGACGACATCTACCAGGATAGCACCTGCTCAGATGCTTGCGCTTGTTGAAGTGGCAACTGTGCATTCGTCTTTGTTTTTGTGCATCTCTCCCTTTGGGCCCTTTGAGGGAAGGTTTATTGCCCAGACTTCGCCCGCGAGGAGAGTTTTCAGTCTCGACTTATGGACTCAGCTGGCCATGGCACGCCCATGGCTCTCTTCGAGTGGGGCTTTTTGGCTGAGGTGCCCATGTTGGAGTCGCTGCAGTCTTCAAGCTGGATATATAATTCTCTTGTTAAACGCTGATTTGGAGTTCGATTGGATTCAATTGGAAGACTTATTGACTTTTTATGCAGATATGTGTAGCCCTTGAAGGGACATGTCAACATGTTGCCCTTCGTCCCACCCAGAAACTCAAAACTGTAAAGCTTCTCTTGGTGGGCAGGAGCCCGATTCCTGGTTTGCCAGCCTCTATCGCAGTTGCGGGCAGCCAATGCGAAGAAGGGAAGCCGTTCGCTGCTGATGCTCAAAAGAGACTCCAAGTGTGCAGCTGTTTAGAGCTGGTCCTCAGACCCAGCACTAAGAAGAAACTTGCTGGCGAACGACAAAACGTGAATGCTATTTCTTGGGGAACATCAACGTCATCATGGGCAATGGAAGTGTACTGGGGAAGGAGCTGGGGAAGGAAGTTGGCAACTTCGAGACTGAGACGCTGGGTTCCACGCACACGACCGCCGGTCTTTCCCTCCCAGGCTAGAACAAAGGTTAGCGGTCACCATTGGGGTAGTTCTTCTTGCTGCTTGGTATTTAGCACTTTGGTTTAGCACACCGCACACCTTGCAGGAAGTTGTTGTTTGGTTGCTTCGATTAGTTAATGTTTCTTAAGGGTGCACCTTGTGCCGAAGCCTGATTTTCTCAAGGGGCACGAGGCAAGCCACCAAGCTACGTAGAAAAGAACGTTGCAAGTGTGCCCATGCGAGACAGGAACACCTACTCTACCCCAAGCATTGAGTATTTGATCTGCTTTCCTTTGCGTATCCTTTGCTCATCTTGTCGCCATTGTTGACATGACATCGCCCACGCTTAGTGGGTTAGCAGGGCTGCTTGCCAGCATGGCATCAGTCGTTTTGCTGCACCTGGGCAGAGTGGCAAGTTCAGAGGAAATTGTGTTTAGTCGGGACTGCTCGGCGCTGCAAGCGGGTACTCAGGTATCCACTGGATCAAGCAGGTGTCATCTCACAAGCAAGCGGTGAACATGCCAGCCTCTTCTCCCTCTTTATGGAAGACTTATTTCGAGCCTCAACGAAAGGTAGGAAGGCCATCGCGAAGTCCATGATTTCGCCGGACATTTATATATCTAAGGAGGACTGGGCAGTCAACTGCAGGCGACCGGCTTTTCCTATTTCGTGTATTTTGGTGCCACGGCTGATAGCTGGCCAAGTGCCGGGGCAATCCTTTTGCATAACATGTCTACTATATATATATATGTATATGTATATGTCATACAGGACTAAAAGGTGTATGTACTGCCCTTTTCATCCTTGATTGATGTGTCTGTTTGTTTGACTCTCAATTGTCGATCTTCAGTAATTCATGCTCGAGAACGGCAATAATAGTACAGCAAGATGCCCAAAACTATGCTGCATACTGGAGCACAAGAGGGGCCTGTTGAAAGACGAGGAGAGGGCAAGATTTCCCTTCTTTGGTGTCAACAATGTTTACAGCACATTTGGGAGGGCAGAAAGACTCGATCAAAGAAAATGCTACTGGAGCAATAGAAAGCCAATTGAGACCCACAAGGTCTTGTTGAGTAGAAACAACGATAAATCGATTGCCACAGCAGGAAAAGAGCAGAATCAGAGTGAGGGCGAATAAAACAACAATAGTAGTACAAGCAACAAACCTGCCAAGAACGAATGAACCACTTGAACGCTCCAATTGAAATCAGTTCAAATGACCGGTCCCAGTCCTTTTTGTGCCAATGTCAAGGACGAAGCACAAGAAAAATACAACAATACGGAATATATATATATATATTTCCCCGCCGCGAAGCAATAATCACAGATGGTTGGATCTAATGCAGGAGGCATGCAAAGAGCACATTGCTCAGGGTCCAAGGTTCTGTTTCTTTTTGTGGCTGCATGTTTGATAACAGCTATGACTGAAGACAATTTGTGCCTTGTGACTTTGTAAGGTGTCTACACTTCCCTGAAGACTCGCTTCCGTAGACCGCAGTTGCCACAAAGCCTTGCAGATCTCCTGGCAGCTAGTCTTGCTGGCATGCTGGGTGCTGCTTGGACATAAACGTAGTTCTCTGACGTGCGTAAGAAGCCTTCTCTTGGTTGGCTTCTCAGGACTAAGTACAAAATTCCATTCCGTGGAAACAGATTGCTACCAAGATTTCAATTTTCAAAAGAACCATAAGTGGACATAATTATCCATGATAGACTCACAGACATATCGGAAAAACACATGTATTCATTGCTATTGAACGAGAAACAGCCAATAGGCTAGGCTGAAGAGCTAGATGGGCGAACGCAGTGAGTATAGAGGGTGTTGGAGGGGTGGTCGCGTGGAGGGCGCTGGCGGTTGGCAGAGCCTGGTGGGGGGGATGTACAATATTGTAGCTTTTGTGCATTGCAACGTGGCCATGATACCAGTCAAGTGGACAGCGTCCAGTTGTGTGTATGGAAGCGGTCAGCTGTAAAGATAGCAGCTTGCAAGCCGCCACAAAGACTTCAACGAAGAAGGCAATGTGTGGTATCAGCGACGGACCGCTTGCTGTGCTGCCCAGTCGTAAAGACAAGCAGGCGTGTGTCGTACAGGCACCAGTGAACGTGTAGAACACCATCTAAGCCTTCCAAGAGAGGGTGGGCGGAAACGCATCGCGACCAACGGACGCAAGGAAAAGGCCATGTGTGGCGGTGCCCTGTCGAATCGTTTTGTCAAAGTTTTGGGGGACGACAAAGGGGCACCAGCAAACACGTTGGAAGATTATGTTTGCCCGGCTGCAAAGACAAAAGGGCCGGATGGACGGCCTTCCGCAAGCCGGCGCGTTTTGTGCTTGCAGCCGAGAAGTTATGCGTAGAGCACGATGTAAGAAAGGGTGCGAGAACGAAGGGTGCCCTTTTCGACCGGTATTTCCCGAAATTATTTCCCAGATGTTACCGGAAGAATGAAAGGCACCATCGTACGGTTTCTAGTTTTTTTTTGGGGGGTGGGGGCCTCAACGCGGTGAAGACCTGAGCAGTGGTTCTGTGTTGAAGAGAGTCGCCACCCGCGACTTCAAAGACCACCAGCTGCGCAAAAGTAACCCCACCAAACCATGATGAAACAACAAGGCCAAACATTTTCCAGCCTGTTGCGTCATATCAAGCAACTTCCTCCCAAAGCACGCTTCAAGATATATATCCTTGTGAAAACAGTGCAGTGATCATTTGTTGTTTTGTGTGTCCTCTCAAATCAGGCTCACAAAAACTACTCAACTCACCCAACCTACCAAAAGCATACTGAAGGTGGTGAAGTCATCAAGTGTGAACATGTTTGTTTGGCTGCAAGGATGCGTCGGCCAGTTGTTCGGGGCTACTTCCATGATCGTCAACACGGTCACTATTGAGAAAGGAAGGGGGGCTCTGTTTCGCTTTCATTCTGCTTTCACCTGCTTTCCTTTGCTTTCATTCTGCTGTTTTTCTCCTTTCATGCTGCTTTCATTCTGCTTGAGAAGCACCCTGGTACGGCAACAGTGACTTGTGTACCACGAAGACGCATTTCTGGGTTGGTGCCCTTTGGCGGTGTGTTTGAAGGCCATCTTGAGGTAGCGCCAAATTCTCTGGCCGTTTCCGGGCAGAAAAATCACCTCTGAAAAAGTGGGCTCTAGCGACCACACCCATGACACAGCAGGACATGGAAGAGGCATCTTCCAGCACATTGATTTTGCAGGTCAAGTGATCGCGCACAAAAAAAGTATACCAGCTGTTTTTAGCCCGAAAAGTGCGCGAGAGCACGAGCAGGTTATGAGCCCAACGCAGGTGTAAGACCTCACAGGTCAAGGTGGGGCAGCCCCGCGAAGGTGCAGCCATGGCCATGAGGCGCAGGAGGCGGCAGCCCCAAGGAGAAGATGAGGGAGATGCTGCTGAACCTGCTGCTGAGGGCGCGGCGCTTGCTGATGGAGAAGAAGAAGAAAATGAGCAGCTGGCTCTAGAGGATGGTGAGCAAGGAGAGTTCCAAGGTCCAGTGGGAAGGCCGACGAGCCTAGGTCCAACGACACCCCTGTTCTCTCCCGAACAACTTCGAGATCTTCCAGAGTCAAGCGCCTCACTTGTATGCCAAGGTCCCTCGAGAGAGCGTGTGGCGTCCAGGTGGTGGACTACAAGATCATGCACAGCCGCCTCAACAGAGTACAACGACGGGTACTCCTTCTCCGCTCCCTGGCCATGGGCAGGAATCTAGGGAACCTCGAAGAGGCCGTTCACCGGATCAACAAGCCCCGGAAGTGGAAGAGCTGGAGGAGAGCGATGAAGATCGAGCGCAACTACCAGATCAACTTGCGGTTCAAGTACAAGGAATTGGACCGGGACATCAGGATCCACTCGTGCCTAAAGGGTATGGCCGTGGAGGACCACCGGGGTATGTGATGCCTCAAAACGATCGACGAGGTCACCTACTACCTCTTGGAGGACCGCATCAACTAGGACTTGGGATGCCCTATCCACATCAAGGTGGATGGCAGCGCGGGCATCACTATGGAGCGGGTCCACCGAATCCGCAAGAGATGATGACCATGTTGGCCTTGCTGCGACAAGAGAACCAGCAACTGCGAGTAGAGCAAGCTGAGATGATGGATGCCATGAAGTTTCAGCGTGCTAGCCTTGAGGCCAAAGTGCATGATCTTCAGCAAGGGTTGGAGCAGCAGTTGTTTCGCACGCCTGAGAGTGGGGGCACTGTGAAGCGCCATCTTGAGATGACAGCAGGTGAACAGGAGAAGGAGATCGACCTGGAGAAGGGGAGGAAGCGCCTCTATGAGCTGACGCCAATGCAGCAGTTCGAGCAGCTTCAATCCCTCATGGGCGCTCCTGCGCCTGGCAAGCGTGGAGTACGAGGACGTGGACAACGAGAGCGTTCAAGGTCAGTGCTAGGCTGCTAGGGCCGAGAGCGTCTGGTCCTGGAGAAGAACAACCCATGACAAGGAGCTTCGGCAGGGCACTGGAAAGGGGGTTGGCCAATCTCGCAGGAGATCTACAACGGCGCAGCCTGCCCAGCCTGAGGCCTCAGGAAGTCAAGATGGAGTCAAAGGTGAGAAGATGATGGAAGTGATGGCCAAGCTGGTCAACCATCTTGTGGAAAAGGAGAACAAAGACAGCGGTCCAGAGTCGGTGAAACCTGGGACAGTGACACCACCCACCCTTCCGGAACCATCGGATTCAGCGCCGATTGACCTGGCAGACTGGCTCACCATGATTGAACCGGCCACGGGTGAGGCGAGGAAGTGGTATAACCACTACATTCATCTTCGACCACTTCAACGAGCCAACAGCACCATCGAACCTTCCCTGGAGTTGCAGAAGCCTAGATGGGTGCGCGTGGAAAAGCGTGCAATCAGCATGATGCTTGCAGCAGCGCCGACGAGCGTGAAAGACCCGTGCACTGTCGCCGCTGCGCCTGGTCAGCAAGCTCATGGTCTTATACCAACCAGGTGGGACGCATGAACGTTCATGAACGTTCCATCATCTTGAGACAACTTAAAGAGCCAGCAGAAATGAGTTCACCTGCGGAAGCATGCACAGGGTTGCGGAGGTGGATGCGCTGGCTCCGACGTGCTTCAGACATAGGTCTGAATCTTCCTGATTCGACGATCCTCCTAAAGGGCATCACGAGATTGAGCCCGAGAGTGTTGGCCCAGCAGCCTGATCTGCAGTTCAGGTGTTCTCTCGTGAGGAATACGCTGCAGCTGGACACGATTCCAACAGAGGAGACAGTCAAGACGTACGCTGAGCATTTACTTGCTGAACTTGAACAACTCATGCATCGACTGAGGCCAAAGACCAGTGGTGTTCCAAGGGCTGGCAATCCAGGAGGAGCTCCGCAGGTGAAGGCGGCCTACGTGGACGAGAAGAAAGGGGACGGAAGCCCAGAAGGCAAGAGTCCTGGCATCTGCAAGTACTTCCGAACCGATGCGGGATGTCGAAGAGGAGCTGCTTGTCGTTGGGTGCATCAAGCTGAACCGGGCGAGAAGAGGTGCTATGTTTGCGGAGCTACGAGCCACTATGCAAAGGACTGCGCCCGGAAGGAGGTGACCAAGTCTGGCGAACCAGGTGGAGAAGGTGGAAAGGGTGAAGCGCGACGACCAGCTCCGAAGCCAAAGATCCAAAGGGTGAAGGACATCGGAGGAACCTCTTCGTCGGCGTTTTTTTGAGAGTCAGCATCTTCGGTTCTTCCAAATCCAGGGCCACCCCCGTCAACTTGTGGGTCAGACCAACCTGAGGGAAGCAGTCAGGACGCATTGAAACATGTGTTGGACGAGGCACAGCGGATGTTGAGAGGCATGTCGATTCAAGGTGAAAGATCCACACAGGCTGACTCCTCGACTCCCACCATGAAGGCAGTGTCGGTGGCTCGAGCAACGGACTCCCGGACACAGGGGCGGCTCATGCACTACGTCCCAGGCGACATGGAGAGGACCTCCAGCGGTGCAGACAGGTGCAAGTGTCTTTGGCAGGAGGAGGACGAATTAATATCGAATGACCGAAGGGCAGGTGCTGGTGCATGTGGATGAAGGGGTTGAACCCATTGCGCCAGTCGGACGGTTGATGAAGGACCTTGGCTGCAACCTGGAATGGGAAGGGGACCATTGTCGGCTACTGCGTCCGTTGAGGGGTCTCATCGATGTGGATTTGGTTGAAGGCTGTCCAATGGTGGCGTATGCTGAAGTATTAGCCTTAATCCAAGAGCTCGAGGAGTCCAAGTCAAGGATGGCGTTGCGGTGTCATGTTTTCGCTGATGAGGGAGTCCATGCCAACTGGCTTGATCAGGTGGTTCGTGACTTTCCAGTGTTCCAGGACATGCCACAGCGGATCAAAGACAAGCTGGCGGACACCCTGGCAAGAGATCTTAGTGGACTCAATGTCAACAGGAGGATTCGTCGGAGGTGGGAAAAAGAAGGGGTGACACTACACCTCTATGCAGGACCAGTCAATCGCCTGATCGCTTTCTTTTCCTCTACTGACTTGATCTCCTTGACTATGGCCTCAATCCACTCAGCTTTGTTCAAGAAGACCTCTTCATTGGGGATGATGCGCGTCTGCAGGATTTCATCTTCCAAAGGCCTTGTGGCTTCAGCTTCTTGCTCAGCTCGGAACGGAGCCAAGCCTCGCTGCCAAGCTGGTCCTTCTCTTGGCTCTGACCCGAGGAGATGTTGTTCCTCATCATAGAGGGTTCGAAAGAGGCTAACTCAACGCTTCTCTTCCTCTTCCTCCTCATGAGTCTTTAAACAGGCCACACTGGCCTTCTCCCTGATCCTTCTTCTCAACCTCAGTGGATCCTCTTCTACTGCCACCTCGACTAGTGCCAACTCTTCACTATCCTTCACCGGCTCCTTGATGTCCTTGATCGTGTAGCTCACCACCTTAATGACCCCCTTGTCGGTGAGGACGGCATGGCCTTTGAAACCTCTAGAGCCGGTGTCAGGTACTTCACCTCCTCTCCACTCGACTCAAATGCTCCTTGTCGTTGTAGTTCCCAGGATCTCTTCTTCACTACCACGGTCTGACCAAAGTGGGGCAGTCGTTCCGTGATTTTCTTTCGGCGATGTCTTTCCAGTTCCACCACGCGCCTTGCAGCTACCGGCCACCAGCACACCTCCATCTCAGCTCCACGCAACAATCTTCGTACCCTCTGCTTGATGGAGTTGATGGCTGCTTCAGCCCTTCCATTCTGAGCATGTTCATCTGGGCAGCTTGTAGTCCGTGCGGTGCTGTGATCACCCTGCTGGGAGGCTCACCAATAGCATGGAAGTCGTCGAGGCAGCCGTTTCCAGCACTCTCCACTGCCGACGCAGAGCTGATTGAAGTCATTGAGTCAGTCATCCTTGGAGGCAGCGTGAGTTGCTTAGTGGAGGAGATGGCCGGAGCTATGCACAAGGTCCTGAAGTGTGACAACTCGGCAGCCATTGCTTTGGGAAGCTCTGCCACCACACGCCGCTTGAAGGTGAGAGCAGCACATCTCAGGCGGGGTCATGGGAGTTGCAGTATGAGCCCGGGAAGGATTTGGTCGCTGACATCGGAACCAAGGTCTTAGCGCCTCCTCGGATGAAGAACCTCACGCGGAAGATGTAGATGGGGTGGCAACCAGCTGGAGGGGATAAACAGGAAGATAAACCTGAAGAAGATCTTCCGGTGGCCAGTCGTCTCTGGTTGGAGAATGACTTCAAGAACGTGACCCAGCTGGTAACCATCATCACAATATTCCAACAGATTCATGGAGCATTGGCGACGACTAATGCCACTGAGAAGGAGTCAGAAGAGGGTGATGGATCAGAAGTGCTTTATATGTTTGGAGTGATCATGGTGATCCTCGGAATGGTGCTCATGAAAGTCCTTCAGCGATGCCGGGTGCATTGGGGTGAAGCAGATGGAAACCTGGCGATCCGCAGAATGAGAGTTGCAGACTCCGTTGAAAGGACTTCATCGAGTACGAGGCCTTCTACAAGTTTGCGAGAAGGGAGAGGCGAGAGGTTGCGCGCAGCTGAGGGACCTCAGCGCCCAGAGAGAGGAAGGAATCGGGAGACATCTACGTCTTCATCAGCTACTACAAGTGGTGGCAGTGGCATGGAGCTTGGCGAACAGGGCAAATCCAGAGCGTGAGGAGTTCGAGGGAGAGAGCACTTTGGTCGAGAAGAGCCGCAAGAAGAGCCGCCAAATCGAGCTGACCTACCTTTGGAACAGCGGATGCACATCTCCCTGACGGGGCAAGGGAGAAGGTTTGTCATTGAACCTCCATGGCAGATCTGGTTTGCGGAATCTAGCCAGTGCTTTCACCGAAGGCGAGAGTGCAGAGGGCTGAGGAATGCCAATCGAGTTCGAGGGCATCCAATTTGTGGGGCATGCCAGAGAGCAGTGCAAGGGCAAAGAAGCCTGGCAGCAGCTGACTTCATTTTTGAAGATCAGCTTGGCAGCCATCACACCGATGCAAGGTGTGGCGCAGTCACAGGCGCAATGCTAGAGATTCGGCAGTGCAAAATCTGCCGTGAAACGGCTTGAGCACAAGGCACCTTTTGAGAGCCGACTCTGTCAAAAAGGCAGACGAGTCGGGGAGGAGTGCAGGTCAAGTGATCACGCGCAAAACGAGAAGTATACCAGCCGTTTTTAGCCCGAAAAGTGCGCGAGAGCACGAGCAGATTTAAGCTTGTTTTGCGGGCCAAACACGGCCAATGCGTGAAACGTAGGAGTTTTGGTTGCTGTTTGAAATGAACTGCCGATGCAAGTGTGGAAAGACGGTCGGTCTAGATTCAGGTAGCCGGAGTTTCTTGGTTGATGCCCCTTCGCGCTTTGGTTTGGGGCCGCCTCGGGCAAAGAAAGGGCACGAAGAGCGGGTTCTGGCTGGCGATCAGGCAGACGTATGCTTCAACATTGTGATTGAATCTTGCGAGCCGCTGCTTGAGATGAATTGTCGATGCAGGTCCAGGTATGGAAAGACACAGATCGACTCTACATGTAGAGAGCCGAAGCACCACCCTTAACCCGCATTTGTTGCTCTGAGTGCCTATGAGGGGTGGCTTTCGCCCCTCCCTTCTCAGGTACTGTAGCTAATCATTCGTCAAGTTGACTCGCCATACATCACAAATCCCAACAGAGTCCCATGTTTTTCCCTTCACTTCTGGGCAAAAGTTGCTGGGTGAACAAATTTCACTCACGGTGCTCACGTCTATATAAAGAGCCTTTTGACATCATGCATCATGAAACAACCATCATGGACACCGCACATTCTACGGGCCTGTTGGGTGATCAATTGGGTTATTGTACATATATGCTTCCTTTCTATGACTATGATTATGATGCACTACCCCTCGCTCTTGCTTCCTTGCCGTGTCAAGAGGTTTCAATCAACCTGTTTACTGGAAATTTTGTCGGGGACACTGAACTTATGCCGGTGGCACGCTGAGTGCTTGCATAACAAAAGTGTGATTGCAACACTTGCATTTGCAAGGTTATGCTCAGCAACCCTCTTTGGGTAGCCGGGAGCCAAGACAACACGGACCGTGGCTGGTGAATGCTGGTTTCACAAATTGTTCCAAAGCAATCGATTCCAGGCCACAACTCGCTTGAAAATTGGCAAGGCGACCGGCGCAGGCCTGTGGGAGGAGTGCCTTGGGCATATGGCAATGAGTCAAAATGTTTTGGTATGGATCATTGGCGGGTTGACCTTTTGTTCCAGACCACGATCCAGACCTTCGTTCCAGACCACGATCCAGACCTTTGTTTCAGACCTTGTTCCATACTTGCGTTCCAGATCCTTGTTCCATAGCTATGTTCTATACCTTAATCTATTTATAATTGTCTTGATGAAGTAGTTGATGGGCCAGGGCACAGTCTGAAGCAGGCTTAGTAGCCGAGTCGCGCCCTAGTAACTAGCAGCCTGGGCCTAGTCACGCCCTAGTATTTGTCTAAAAAATATATTCTTAATTACTAAGTATTTACATTATATATATATAGACTAGATTTGGTTTTGTATTGGTTCCCTTTTGGCATTCCTGGATTTTTGAAAAGATGCTAGGACCGTTAAGATAACTCGATGCGGTAATTTGAAGGCTTACGCCTGACAGCGGGGCGCCGGCCCAACACAGGGAGAAAGTAAGACGGTAGTCGGGAGAGCCGTCTCTCTCTCTCTCTCGCTGGGTGTCACGGTCTTGCTTGGAGCCATGCTGGGGGTATTTTGGGCCATTTATGTCGACATACGCTTCAGATGCGATCTTTTCCGCCCCGGACCCCCTCTCCGAGGCCGAAATATGACTGAGTCGAGCGGGTTTGGTGGATTGGGAGAACTCTGTCAGACATGTGCGTTTTCGTTCCAGACCTCGTTCCAGACCGTTCCATACCCCTTCCAGACCTGCTCGAGCTCATTTTGAGCCCTTCCCCACGTTGTGAAGCTGATGACCTAGGGTTGGCCATGGCGCCAGTGAAAAACAGAGTGCAAGGGGGGGCGCGTGTACGCTTTTGTATGAACGAAGGGATCATTGTGCAATGTCGGATGTAAAGGGGAGCCTTCTCTTTTCCTCACGCGTGCAGGGTTTGCTTTCGCCACGGAGTGCAAATGCATCAAACGTACATGTATATACTAAGTACAAAGATTGAATTCATTCCAGACCTCCGGAACATACCTGCCGTTCCAGACCTCCGGATCAGAACTCCGGATCATGCATCTCGTTCCAAACCTCCGGATCAGGAGGTCATATCTCAGTCGCTGCCGGGATGCCCAACGCGCCACGATGCACCCTGCTCAGGATTGCCTACATCATTGTTGAGGAGGGCACTGGAGCTTTGTGGAATGGAGTATCTTCTTCAATACTCTTGGTGACTCTTCTGACAGACATCTTTTTGATTGACGTATCCGTATCCCATTAGGCTGTACCTCGAAGGCGTCGTTTTTCAGTGGCACTGAGCAAACAAGATTGGCCTCTGAGGTGGCAAATCCAGCGATCCAGCAACATATTTGCACAGATGGATGTCTGACACCTTTTGTTTGTGCCACTTTGTGCCTTCTATCCATTCACAAGCGACACTTTCCCCGCCATTGTATCCTAAAACGGGTTTATATACGTTTTGCAATTACTGTATATTCAGAGCAGTAGAACGTTTGCCATGACTATTATGGAATCTGTATATAGAATCTTTTGGAGCCACCAGCATCATGGGTTTCACTAGTTGTATAGTATAGTTAAATTTATTGAAATTCCATCATGATTGGGGGTGCCTTTAGTCATTCAGTTCCCTCTCGCAGGTTTGTGATCTACGACCTGTTAAAGCGGAATGTTTGCAAACAGCCAGCACCTACAGCGTTGGAAGCTTTCTTGGCGGGTGCGGTGGCCAAGTCATGTGCCACCTGTACCACGTATCCATTGCAAGTAGCACAGTTCCTTCGCTGCAAAAGGCAAACAGGGAGCTGCTTCTTGCAGAAGTCAAAGGACCACAAGAGTATGTCAGCGGGAATTAAGTTTCCCCGATCTATATAGGAACCAAATCAGTCGCGTGAGCTATCCTGGGTCCACTTACCAGAAGCTTACTACTCCCTTGCTTAATTTAGTGGGTGCCCACTTAATTAAGTAGGAGCTGGCTAAAACATTTTTTTGCCTCACATGAGGTTAGTGACATTAGCTTTGTCGCCTTAGTGAGTTCATGTGTTCGCTGCTGTTTGTGTGACACCGAGTCCTCGCGCCGAGGACTCGACAGCGCGTAAATCGACATGCCAAAGGGATGTCTGACAGCATCATCGACTGTCTCTTGGAAGTGGTCGTGGTCAGCGGTGCTTTGGCAACAAGTTTGCTCTTGAGCTCTGGCTTTGAGCTTTGGGCTGGGTTGATTAGCAGGGTCGAATCTGGGGGAAGGCTAATGGTCCTTACTCGCCACCAAGCTGAAGCAGGGTAGCTTTATCACGGCCTTGTTTCTGTGCTCTGGCGAGCAGCCACTCAGCAAGTTCTCTCATTTGTCCGACTTTCGGGGCGGATGTCGTGTAGTACACGTCGCCATACTGGAGCCCAAAGGCTCAGAACAGCTGAGTGCTGATCATGCAGGGAGAGCTTTTCCACATAACGTGAAGCTTGCCTCAAGAGTGGGGTCTGATAGCGAGGCTTTACGGCCCTCTATGCTGGAATTGAAGCAAAGCTCCTACAGTGGCCTGGCTATGCGCATCACATTTACGTGTCTAGTGGACGGCAGATTCATGTTGCCTTTGTTTAATAAACTTGGGGAGAGATGCGGAGAGATCAGCTTTCACCAAGGACGGTGCTGAACTCTGCATTGATGCCGCCCGGACTATGTAACACCTGAATCACTACCTGTTTCAATATCAAGCCATTGAAGCCTGATTCAACTGAATCCGATGTCTCGATGTGCTGGTTCTTCATTTGGGGTGTCGTGTTGTGAAAAGGTTTATGTTCTATGAGAAGCTGCTGGGGTTGTTGGTGGCCGCTCACTTGCAGCTGCTCAGCGCGTGGAGGCACACCAGAAGACAGATGCAGACCAGTGATTGAGAGGCGTTCATTGGACTGGATGCATGTTTGACGCTTGCAGTCGTGGAGGTGACAGTTGTTTATGTTGCTCCTGCACCCGCTACATGCTTGTTTGCAGGCATCGCAGGCTGAAACGGCCAACTCGGGTGAGCCATGTCAACTGAGAAGTGCAGTGAGAAAAGTCTCACTTAGGCTAGCGAGGCTTGAAACATTCGGGCTTGCTTTGGGGAACGCGAGCAGAGACCCGCTTTGGAATGGGCTTTGGCCAGAGCTTGTCAGACTTGGCAGGGCTCTGTGTCGTTGGATGACCTCCAAGCACTGGAGAGCGTTGTTTTACGCTATTTTCGGATTTACTTCAAATTTACTATATATACTTAGACTAGCGACTAGAATGTGCAGAGGCACTGTCCATGCCAACACAAGGCATACGGGCACACTCTGCTGGTCCTGTGCCATACGAGCACCGGACTGCATCTTTCCGCACGCTTGCCTTTCTGATCCAGAAGGACCTGGAGGCGGACAGCCGTGCCGGACATGCCGCAAGCTACAACCCATATTGTCAAAGCACACCTCACCAAGAAAACAAGAGTTGCAGGGCCAGGAAAGGTGTCATCTTCGCTTCGGAATGTTTGAGCCAAGGTTTGCCACGTCAAGATTCTGTGTATGTATATATATATAGTTATATATATATTGTGGAAGGCTAGGTCTTTCTCCATGTTCTTCATTGCGGATGGTGTTTTAGAGCAATCATGGGCTCTCTTCCCTTTAAATAACTCGAACGATCTGTCCAGATGTTTTTCTGGGAATCCTGAATCTGAAAAACATGATGCTCACACGCTGCTGAACCTTTGTTTTCATCAAGCCTTCACTGGTGGAATGTCCACATGCCAAGCCAAAGCTCAAGAAACAAGATTGCATCCCGAGAATGTCGTGACTGTCGAGCCATAGATCCACCACAAGTGACCACCAAGATGGTGTTGTGCAAGATATTGAGAACAGCAATGAGAATCAAAGGCAAGTCATTGGAGGGTTTGAGGGAACCATGGCCAGTGGCTTTGGCACACCAAAATCTGACAAGGAGGTTGAGCCAAGCTCTCAGACTCCAAGCACTCAATCATCAGACTCGAGAAAGACTCGAGAACGGTCAGACAAGTTGTGGCTGCACCTTTTGGTTGATTGACAGTTAGGTCCCCGCGAAAGAGCTTTAACGTCGAGCCCGGATTTCTATGGAAAGGCGGTGAGGAGATGATGCCACAGCTGCTTGAGGAGCAGCATGCAGAGGCTCTCATCCTTAGGAAGGAGCCCCATGACTAGTGAGACCTCAGAATTCTCCTTTTCCAGGGATGGCATGGGATGGCATGGGATGGGCGAGAATAAGGTTTGTCATTTCTTGCCTGTGATGGCTCCATTTTGCTTTTCCTGTTTTGTGCGTGGCTGGCGGCCAAAAAGAGTTTGTGACAGGTCATGCATACCTTGCAAAACCATGGGGAGATGCTCTATCAGGTCCTTGCCCGGCTCGCCAAGGGTGGGTTGCCTTCACCGCACCAGCCTCGACGTGCCCCTCTGCGGACTTGCACTGAAGACTCGGACGATGGGCTTGTTTTACACAGCGATTCGGACTTGGTGGGTCAGCAGCATTCCGACTCTGGAATCTTGCCCATGCCGCGCACTCTTCGATTTGAGAACAAAAACAAGCCCATTGCAAAGGCGCAGACCAGCAAAAGGAACATGGCTGTTTCTTGGCTGTGAAAGCTGGGTAAGTAGCAGAACAAGCGGCGCAGCCGGCTCAGCAGTAGCATTGCGGCTGCGAAAGCGTCCTAGTGAGCTGAGGTGCCCCGCAAGCCCAAGAGAGATTCATTCACTCCTCAGCTCTTCAAGACGTTCTCGCAGACAGACGTCAAGCTCCGGAACAATGCGAAAGCGGCAGACAAGACCGGGGTTAAGATGTGCAGAATATGCGCGCATGTGTGATGTATATATGTCTTTGCCACAAAAGGACACAAAAGCCATACATAGTATTGCACTTCGATTCATAGTTCCAATGAAGGAACGTTGTTCTCAGGGGTCTTCAGAAATGCGTTAGACCTTTACTTCAATGCAGGAAAACACCGGAGTGGAACAGCTTGTGCTCTACCTAGGTTCGTGCAGGTGCAGGTGGATGATCAGTCCACACTTCCCTCGCCATACCGTAGCTGCGTTGCGCACGGTAGGTACGACGAGCCGTACGCCCCTGCTAAACGTTTTCAAGTACTCCTGGAAACGGAGTGGGCACACACAGCGGGCCGCAAAGCGGCGCACTCGTGCTCAAAATCCGCCGGCAATTAGTGGAACAAACAACGTAGTGGACGGCCAAACAATGCATTTCTTGCATCACCACCCGCTCCAAAATCACAAAAACATCACCTCCAAACAACCTCCAAAGCCTTCCATCCGTGCACCCTCCTCCCCCAGCATGTGCCGAGTTTACGTGTACCTTTTGCGGGCCCACCCCCCCAAACCCCCTAACCTGTTCACTTCGTTCGCCTTCTACGAAGGCTGGCTTTCGTAACTAACGCCCCCTCCCAAGGAGGAGCTGCTTAAGCATTGCTTGGGTTCTGGTCACTCACTCTCACTCTCTCACGCCCCGCTTGACTTAAAATGACCGATTACGAGTTAAAAAGCCCCTAGAAGAGAGTCAGACCTAGAAAGAGAAACGAAAGGCAGGAGAGAAAGAAGCGAAAGCTGAGGGGTAGGGTCGACTAAACGAGCCTCAAGAGCAATCCAACAAGTGTGAAGAAGCACCTACCAAACGAAGAAAAACGCAAGAGAGAAAAGGAGGGGCGGGGCTTTGGTTGTGTTCTGCATGGAAAATCGGGAAAGTACATGACGAGAGGGGCGGCAATGCACTTGTGCTTCAGTTGTAAGTCCACGTGAACTCGTCGGTAAAGTTTCAGGCGTTCCTGAAAGGTTCCGAGTTTCAGTATATGGCCGTTGCATATGCGCGTTTTCAGAAAGAGAAAGTCCGGACTGTCTTCAGCGCCCCTTGCGGGGATCACACTGCACACACAAGTGGGAAGATGCAGCAGGTCACACTTTGATTCATAGAATGAAGGAACGTTGTTCTCAGCGGTCTTCAGAAATGCGTTAGACAGTTAGACCTTTACTTCAATGCAGGAAACACTGGACTGGAACAGCTTGTGCTCTACTTAGACTCATAGCTCAAAAGAATGAGCATCAAATTCAGAAAGTGGTTTGCCGATGCGTTAGACCTTTACTGTAATGCAGAAAACGCCGGAGTGGAACAGCTTGTGCTCTACTTACACTCATAGCTCAAAAGAAGGAGCATCAAGTGCAGAAAGTTGTTGGCCGATGTATTAGACCTTTACTGCAATGCAAGAAAGCACCGAAGTGGAACAGCTTGTGCTTTACTATTACTTAGGTTCACACACTTAGACTCATAGCTCAAATGAATGAGCATTAAGCGCCGAAAGTAATTCGCCGATGCGCTAGACCTGTATTGCAACGCAGGAACCACCGGAGTGGAACAGCCTGCGCGCTACCCAGGTTCGTGCAGGTACAGGTGGATGATCAGTCCACACTTCCCTCGCCATACCGTAGCTGCGTTGCGCACGGTAGGTACGACGAGCCGTACGCCCCTGCTAAACGTTTTCAAAAAGTAATTCTGGAAACGGAGTGGGGCACACACAGCGGCCCGCAAAGCGGCGCACTCGTGCTCAAAATCCGCCGGCAATTAGTGGAACAAACAACGTAGTGGACAGCTTAAGCATTACTTAGGTTCTAGTCACTCACTCTCACTCTCTCACGCTGCTTGACTAAAGAGGTCAGACCTAGAAAGAGAAACGAAAGACAGGAGAGGAAGAAGCGAAAACTGAGGGGTAGGGTCGACTAAACGAGCCTCAAGAGCAACCTAACAAGCCTGAAGACACACCTAACAAACGAAGAACAACGCAAGAGAGAAAAGGAGGGGCGGGGCTTGGTTGTGTTCTGCGTGGAAAATCGGGAAAGTACATGACGAGAGGGGTGGCAATGCACTTGTGCTTCAGTTGTAAGTCCACGTGAACTCGTCGGTAAAGTTTCAGGCGTTCCTGAAAGGTTCCGAGTTTCAGTAAATGGCCGTTGCATATGCGCGTTTTCAGAAAGAAAAAGTCCGGACTGTCTTCAGCGCCCCTTGCGGGGATCGCGCTGCACACCCAGGTGGGAAGATGCAGCAGGTCACGCTTCGATTCATAGTTCCAATGATGGAACGTTGTTCTCAGTGGTCTTCAGACATGCGTTAGACCTTTACTTCAACGCACGAAACACTGCACGGGAACAGCTTGTGCTCTACTTAGACTCATAGCTCAAAAGAATGAGCATCAAAAATGTTAAAGTTGTTTGCCGATGCGTTAGACCTTTACTGTAATGCAGAAAACACCGGAGTGCAACGGCTTGTGCTCTACTAAGGTTCGGGCAGGTACAGGTGGATGATCAGTCCACCCTTCCCTCGTCATACCGTAGCTGCGTTGCGTACGGTAGGTATGACGAACCGTACGCTCCTGCTCAACGGTTTCAAAAAGTACTCCTGGAAACGGAGTGGGGCACACACACAGACAAGACCGGGGTTAAGATGTGCAGAATATGTGCGCGTGTGTGATGTATATATGTCTATTGCAAAAGGAGACAAAAGCCACACAAAGTATTACACGCACATACATCTATAAAATTATGCGCGCGCACGTACGCAAAGTCCACACGCATATAGCTTATTCTGTGGCGTCTGGCTTTGTCCAATGTCTTGTGCAAGTTGGCTAGGGGTGTCGCTTCCCTTTTTTGTGTCTTGTCCGGTTGTGCGTACAGCGTCCAGGTGTTTTGCTTGGTTGCGGCCTGCGGCCTAGGCCTAGTCTGAGCTGGTTTTGCCCGCCCGCTATTTAATTGGTTGGTGTCTAGGGCCAAGCTAAGATGTTCAGAGTTCGGCAAACCATACGCAAAAACTCTGTGGGCTTTTGCTTACGTATGCAACCCTTTTCTGTGGTGTGAGTGGTGTGATGGGGGAGGGTTCATGCATCAATAGACATTGTATATGCACCGGAACAGAACATGTGCGTTGGTATTTGCCCACTTGGGTTCCTTGGCCGTTGCTTGCAGTGGTCTTATTCCGTACGGCTTGTGTTTTCCGGTTCTACAGGTCATTCAATCGACGTCCAGTTTGTTGGACATACATGTATATGAATATAAACATGTACGTAATTATATAGATATATATAATTGAGATGTCCATGCGTATATATTATAGATCATATAAATGAATACCTATATGTAGATATAGTTTGTTTATCTGTCTTTCATCTACATATTTGATTTAGATTATCTTATCTAATCTAATCTAAATTGAGCTAAATCCAACCTATCTCTATCTCTATATTTATTTGCCCGTCGATTCATGTAACTATCTATCTACCGGCATCTGGATCAAAAACATGTAAAGGATTAAACAAAATTAGCAGGAGCAAAAAAGGGACACGGATAAAAACAAAAAGATCAGTCTTCGAGCCTAGTGGTCCCCTATAGGCTGTTTGGTGTCCTGGTCCGCTGGTCCCCTGGTCCGCCCCAGTCTCCT